GTTAATTTTTTTTCCTTCGCTCTTCTCTGCCCAGTGGTGGGGGGGAGAGCGAGTAAGCAGGTGTTGTGGGTGCCTGGCTTCCCGCCACCATTCTAAACCACGACAGAACTCATCTCGTCTGCAGGCAGGGTGAAACGGGATTGTTGAATTCAAATGGCACATGCATCCCTCCCATCATGATGCTGAGAAATTTCTTCAACTTTTCCAAAAGGCTGCCTCCCTGCACCCAGCTGCACAACTGCTGCAATCTTCCTTCAAGTGTTGCACTGAAAATAACAAGGATAGAGGACTTGAATTCTGGGGGGACAACAAAGCTTAGACATTTTGCATTTATAAAAGTATGCAGCTAGGATTGTGAATCTTACAGATACACTGATACCCAAAACAAGTACTACAAATGCAGAAAACCCATATACATCAACTCCAAATAAGGCTTTGCTAGCAYAGAAAATAGCATGCAATAAAAAAGAAACTTGCTCTAAATTAGACACGCAGAGTTATGCACCAAGTCATAGCAGCATATCACAGGCTCCAAAACAGGGGTATGCAATGAACTAATTATGCTTAGTGCAGTGAAGCAATAAAAAGGTGCAGGATGTAGATATAATATCTTAATGGGTCCAGGGTATTAAAAAACATTTAGTTCTCTTTGTATCTCCAGCCTGAAATATGATACATAGCCCCAAAGCAAATAGATATCCAGCAAATTTGCTRTGAGTTTCTTGTTTCTTTGGAACAAAATCCCTAAAAAAGATCCCTACTTCTGAAACATCTGCCCCAAGTTTGTCAAAGTCTCATCACAGGCTTTAAGTATTTCCTTTTAACAGAAGAACTTGCCTTGCAAATCTAAATACTATGTAACTTTGTCTAGGTTGTCAGATTATATACACACAAAAGAAAGAAGTCACCACAAAAYAGGCTGTTTCAGATATCAGAATATTACTTATCTTTAATTAAAACAGGTTTTGATTGAAATACATTTGCAGTCAACTTTTAGTTATAAAGGTTTTAGTTCAACTTATTGGGTTTTTTTGGTCCCTTAACGGTAAAGGTACTTTCCTTCCAAAATAAGATACTAGATCCAAGAGTATCCAAAATAACTCTTAAAAGCAGAAGTCTTTATAGTCAGTTCTCAGATGTTTGGTCCCAAAAATCCTGAACTTCTTAAATAATCCATTTCTAATGTTGCAAAAGCCAATCAAGGCAGTTATTTTGCYATTTTACTCAGTCTTCCGTTGAAGTTTATTTTTTTCTGGTTGAAAGAAGTGTTTTTCAAGAGCATTGACCAATTCATCTAGTTCCTTCTTCAGCTGCTCAACATCACTGGGAAACAAAATTCACACAAACACAGAAAGCAGTGAAACAATGGAAAGGCTAAAAACCACATTTTCAGTATGACGAATTTTTAAATCAGTTACATTTCTTTAGACAGACATTTTCTATTAATGCCAAATATGTATATATTTGACTTCTTATGGTAATGCACTGATGTTCACTTYCAACTGATATGCATGAAGAGTATGAAGAAACACAACCCCATAATACAATCTAAAGTAGAATGACCAATTTGAATTCAGAAGATCATCTATTACAAAATATATGTGATTAGAAGTGTACTTTTTATACCATAACAGTATTCTTAGATGAGTTTTCAACTGTGAAAAAGCATTTATTTCATTACATAAGTTAATAATCACTTTTCTTTAAGACCGTATGTTCTCCAAGGCTAGCAGCCAAGGATGTAATTAATAAACGTAAAAGGGTTTGAAAKATATAGGAACACTTGGATTGTATAATTTTAAAGGAACTATGTATGTAAAAAGGGGGATAAAATATTTACCTTCATTTTAGGTACAATATTTTTTCTGATATTATTTTTATTGAATGTAAAACTGAGTTCAAAGGAATTTCAGTGACAACAATGTGTCAACAAATTTTACAGAGTTGAAGCTTTATGAAATACATTCACTAATTCGATCATGGAGAGCCCTTATCCCACTAAAACAATACTGAAAAGCCACGCACCCTCTATTACACCAAACATGTGTAAGTGTAAGTAAACTGCTGTAAGTGACAATACCTGTTTCCAGGGGGTGCACAAAGTTCAGAATAGTATTTGATCTTTGGTTCCGTTCCGCTGGTTCTCATTGTGGCCACTCCTCCGTTAGCAAAAGTGAATGTTATCATTTGGCTACTTTTACTAGTAGGAAGTATCTAGAAATATTAAGAATGTTTTTTCTTAAAGCTTGGAAAGAGACTCCGTAATAGTCATAACATGATATGTAAGAGTCAGTTTAATAGGACATGATGTCATATAATAGGACAAAAGCATCAGCTAAAATTGAAGTTTAGTTCTGTTTCCTTCAACATTGTGGTCTTGGGACCACACATGGACAGCTTTGCCATCAATCTGGAATCTGGTAGAACTACATCATTGCTAGGTAGCTCATTTCAAATCTAGTCAACTCTTATACTGGTAATAGAAGCTACTCTGTGATGGCATTTCCCAGGAGGGAAGTAAAGAGAGACTGAAAAAATAAAGAATCCAAAGCCACRTGCTAGCAGACAGTTTAACTTGCATTTACAAAAATATAGTGCAGATTGCTGTAGCAAGGCAGCAAGATCCTCCTACTCCCTCTACAAACTGTCAAATACACTACAAAACCTAACAAAAAATCCCAACACCCCCTGCTTCACTTCCTGTCACCAAGGCAAAACAATCATCACCAATCTAATTTAGATTATTACTTGATATGTAAATGTTTAGTATTTCTCCACAGACTGTTCTATGTAAGTATATATACATCACACATATTTTTTATATCATTTTAAAAGATACTTACAGCCTTTTGATCTGGCTGGCTGCTGTCATATCCAGTAGTTAGATCCCTTATTCCAGAAACTTTAAATCTACCACAAGATTTTGGGTATGTGTTTTTTCCATCAAAATTTCTAAGGTTGTCAAAAAGCTGTTGAATAACTTTAGGGTCATGGCAGATGAAATAAGAAGCTTTGGTAATATGGAAGCCGTATCTGTGAAGACACAGTATTAGTGAATCCAAGAAGCAATGCTCTAAGAGTTGTACACCAGACACATTATACCACCTTCCAAAAAGCAACGCTCTATACACATGCTCACCCAACTGAAACATCAGTTCACTCCCTTACAATTTTAAAAGGCTAAACAGCTTAATTATCCTATTTTACAAACTTTAAAGAAACTCCCATGCAGATGCCTTCTATTTTTTGTGATTACAATGGAGAAAGTTGACAGCAAAACAGAAGGAAAAAAGATATCATCGTTGCYTTGAAGAAGGCGAAGGATCATAGGAAAGCAAGAGATTATATCTAATAGCTTCTTTGACTGGATTCTGGCTGACCTTTCTAAGTAAAACAAAATCTAGGCTGCTTTTTTCAATCACACTTCATTAAAATGTTTCTAYTCTCCCATTAAAGCATTTCCACTAAACCAATCTGTTCTGAACAGTTTGGTTTGTCTCTTGACCTCACYGGTTTGCTGCCAGGTAATGTGGTGCAACAAAGACAAATAATCTGCTAGCACTGACTTTTCAAACTAGCATGTTATTGAAAAACATAYAAGCCTGCACTGGTTCAAGTGAGCTCTTGCTACAGATCAAGACTTGATAAAGATCCTTGATGGCAGTGAAAATCTAAAGGGCAGCATCTTCAATGGTACTAGGATGTTCACACTAGAAACCTGAAAGGCTCCTTAAAGAGGGTCATGCTTACATCTAAACAGACATCTGGAAGGTTAATAGTAGTTAAATCAGTCTCAAAAATTCAGTAAGGGAATTAAAAAAAACCTGTATACTCTAACTGAAAGAAGGGATAAGCCTACTAGGACTGTGTCCTTTTCCTGATCTGCATTAACTTCTTTGAGACAGATCCCCCTTCTACATTTCCAAAATACAGAGTAGAGTTTCTTCTGCTTCACTAGTAATTCGCAAAGCAAATCTGACAAAAAAGTAAAGTRGTAAGGAATAGAAAACTGCAACTCTATACTAGTCACAAACAAACAAAAAACAAACACGCAAAACAAGAACCCTCCTTCCAGTGCATTATCAAGCATCAGTTCAACAGGGCAGATTCGCATCCTTCCCTGTATCTGTAGCTTTTCCACAAGGAGTGACTATGTGCAGTGACATGTTACAAACTGCTTTTATGCTAAAGCAGCTCTGAGTCCTCTTCAGTGGCTATGAACACAGCAGCACTGTGGCACAGCTCAATTCCACTGAAATACTCTCAAGCAGGTGCTCACTGAATTAGTATTTTTAAAAAATAATAATAAACACCCCTAAAGCCAGAGGAGAATGATTCTCTGAATATGCACTTTAGCTACTAATATTAAGGAAATGCTCACATCCAATGCTGTATTTGCTGCTCTAGGCATGAATTCCTCTCTCATGTTTTTATATTACACAATTTATTTATGCAATGAAAGCGAGTCTTTGCCACTTRATTCCTTCCTAAAGAGCCGACAAAACAGGCATGACTAGTGCTGCACACAAATGAGAACTCAGGGCTGGCAAAACAAGTGGCACAAAGACTGGAGTTTTCCAAGAATGTCTGCAGGTTCCACACTCCCTTGTTATTGTCTATGAGACATGAGGAGCAGGAGTATCAGAAAGCCTGTGCTGCTCCCTCCTTTAAAACAACCAACCCAAAACCTCCACAAAAACCACTCCCTGCCCCATGAAATCCAATAACCATCTTTGCTATTGATTTCTTTGAGCCCATTAAACAAGAACAAGAGAAAAAATAGTGCCYCATATTATTAAAAGCTCTCAGATGGATTCCTAGCTGTGTATAGCCAAGAGTAATGGCCAGTCACTGCACTCCTGCGTAATCAGCTCATATCTCAATCAAGAGCAGAAAGAGAAAAGGACAATAAAAACTTACCAATCACCCATCAAAAAAAAAAAAAAAAGACAAAATAACATAATAAAAAGCCTAACTTTAGAGCCAACTAGAATTCATTTAATCACAAGTACCCCAGCAAGGACAGACGCAAGCTGGCTTCTATGTATAGTATAAATAAGCTAGAGCTACTTAGACCCATTCTGCCATCAACATTTTTGTGTGTCTGGCTCATTTAAGCAGCAAGAAGCACTATGATCTCTACAGCTCAGCAATACTGCTGGCAAAAACCYGCCCAATCTTCCATAAAAGGACCCAAGTGCAGAACTTCCCAAAATAGAAAAACCTTTCAGACAAGCAAATAAAAATACCCCAAAGATCTTATTAACTAATAGAAAATTAGTAAGATAATTAYTATTATTTTTAAAATACCTTAAAACAACACAAAACAAAATCATAAATATTCATGTCCACAAGGTAGGAACACTTTCTGGAATATTACTATTAGCACAGAATTGTCTTATGGTACAATAACCCACATTTAATTTCTTCATACACTATACACTGCTATTGGGTCCCTATTAATCCCAGTATGTGGAATTAAGAAAATCTAAAAAATAAAAAATTAAAGTTGAACTTACTCATCGTAGACAGCTTTCAACTGCTGAGACAAAGACAAATTCCTGGTTGCCAAAAAGCTTGCCATCTCTGCAGTTATAACAGCAGCACTGACACCATCTTTGTCCAGAACAGCAGGACAGCACATATACCCTAAACAAAGACCATTCAATATAATTTGACACATTTTTAACAAAAAATAAGATGGGAAGGGAAGGTTAGCCAACATATTTTAAAAGAGAAATGCCTATTACAATAGTACAGACATTTTAGAGTAAAACCAAAAGTAGAAAACATTATCTTCTAATCAGTGTTAATTTTAATAAGCAAGGTTTTTAATGGAATTTCAAGACTGAGATGTGCACCATATCAGTGCCACGTGCTCCCAGGTCCTTATGGAGCTTTCTTGAAAGAGAAATGCCACACTGCAGTAGAATGCAAGCTACTACTGTCTCAATTAGACAGTAGGCTAAGTAAACACTGATAATTATCTGTGATATCAGTCACATTTTCTCTGGTTTTCAGGTACTGAWATACTTAAGAAATAGCATTATAAGTTTACATTTTCCTCCTCATGAACTCATAACTTATATTTGTGCCTTTCAACCATGGCTTTCCAGTTTACAAATGTAATTTGGGGKAGCTTTTACTTTTTTTTATTCACACTTACACTTAGCTTAAATCTATAAGGTAAAAAACCTCAACTTCAAGTCTGAAAAATGCATTTGTTTCTTTTTTTGAAATAGTTTATGCAGAATTTGCAGTCCAAGTCTACATAACCATGTTACTGTAGATATATTCTCCTAGCTGACAAACTTGTGCTAAGCAGAGATGCAAACGTTTTAATCAGCAGTATCAATCAGCCAAATAGATCTGTTACTCACTGCAAATACACCCATTGTGTTGAGGGCACCCTTATGTTCCATTTTTACGTGGTGGCTTTTTTTTTTTGTTGTTTTTTTTTTTTGTTTGTTTTTTTTTTTTTTTTTTTTTTTTTTTTATATTTTACTCCTTTACTGAGATGCTAACAGAGTGCTGGCAAAGGTTGCCCACAGAGGTTGTAGAATCTCCTTCCCTGGAGATCTTCGAGAACTGTCTGAGCACAATCCTGTGCAATGTGCCCTAAGGTACCCTGCTTGAGCAGGATGGTTGGACCAAATGACCTCCAGGAGTCYCTTCTAACTTTAGTCATTTTGTGATTCTCTGCAAGTCTGTCACTTGTTGCAGTAGTTCTACTTTCACTRTTTTGCAAAATAAGAAAACACAACATCCTGTTTCATACCTATAGCCTCTTCAAATGCAAAAAGAACAGCTTTCCCCTGGTCCATGAGCTGTTTGGCACGGTTGCCCATCCACTTGAAACCTGTCAGTGTTTCCTACAGCAGTGAGAAGAAATCAAAGGAATTAAAAAGAAAAGCAATGTTTTACAAACATATGACACTTCGTAGGAAAGCAAATAAAAGAACATGCAAAAAAGTGTAACATGTGCTTACCTCAAAGTGAAAGCCTTCCTTTAGTGCAATTGCTCTCAGGATTTTGGAAGAAACAGTACTGGATAACATGTAGACATCTTTAACAGCACGAGCATCCCTATTGTTATTTTTCCAGCAAGTGAAGATCCACCAACCTAAAAGAGCKCCTAATTCATTTCCAGAAAACACTTTCCATTCACCACTACAGGAGAAAAAAAAATATTAAAAAATACATTAATTCAAAGGATAATACAAGAAAAAAAATCTATTGTTTCTTCTATAAGTTAGTATTAACATATAAACCGCTGCTTTGGAATTCCAAGTAACAGTAACAAYGTATCATGTGTTCCTTATGAACAAAAAAATTCCTCCCCCAAAGCATTCTGAAACTGTTACCTTTTTCCTTCATCATACACAAACTTTCGTGTTTATCCAAAGATGAAACAATGATATTTCCRACATATTTTAAGTAAAACAAAAATGTTCAGCAGACAAATTATAAACTCAGTGATTAAGAGAAGMACAGAGACACAAGAATACAATTCTATAGTGATCAGTATTTTTAGTTGACCTAATGACAAATACTTTTTTAWTTAACCACAAATACATCAATTGATCATTGAGAAGATTGGGGAAAAAAAAAAGTCTCAAATGGGTAAAAAAGATTAATATTGATGTGTTGCTTGAACAGGGAAGAAAAAAAGAAAAGACAAATGTCAAAACTGTAAAAAAAAAAAAAACTCAGTCACAAAAGGGGACAAAAACACTACCAAACTGACAAAACCAAGACCTACAGAAACAGTACCTGTTGTGAAAGAGAAGCAGATCAGTCTCCTGCATTTATTGATGCCAACAGGCACAAAGCAATGCACAGCGGCAATTTAGTGTAAGAGCGCTGAGAGAGTATGCTCTAGCAGGAGTTTCTGTCAAAGAAGAAGTACAGATACTGTAGAAGCCTATATTAATATTTGATTAGTGTATAAAAAGCTACAGCAGAAGTCTGARGACGCAGGACTGAAAGTCAGGAGACAACTAAGACTGGCTAAACAACAAGCATAGAGGTAGCAGAATGAGAGCACCAYGCTCTMGCTGGTAATGGATGRAACAAACTGGCACCCCTCTTCAAAYTTCTGGYAGCTCYAAGTTTTCAGACAAAAAGCATGAGCGATTTTGCATTCTTGTTTTAACCCATCATAACTAGCATAATCTGAAGCTTTTTATACCTTTTCCTCAAAGCTGAATTGCCAGCTGAGGCTGGCACAGACAAATCCAAGATATAAATCTTCCARCTAACACTGTCCAAAATACAGAGTGCCCACAAAAGATCATTCCTCTTCTAAAGACAGAGAAGCCTCCTTAGTTCATGCTGTTCATGCTCATTTAAACTAATGAGCTTAAAAGCACCCAAAAACCCCAAAGAAAACACTGCCAATTTTAAAGCTACTATTTAGATCAAAAGAAGTTATCTGTTGAGCAAAAGAAAAGTAGTATTTGCACTGTCTCCTTTTACTGGACTTTTAAAATTTGTCTGCTGATACAGATTCAACTATTTAATTAATCTACAACCACTAAGGACATTTGGCAGATGCCCATATCATCCCTTGTGTACTAAAGACTCTTGCCATAATTTTACATCCCTCTTCTGGCTCTCACACAGAGAGAATTCACATATGCTGGCCCAGAAGAAGATTTTTTTTTTCTGCTCCTCTCTGAGATGAGAACCTTGAAGCTTATTGTTACTATGCATTTATAGCTTCTAACTGCTCAGATTGTTTCAGCTTTATCAAGGTAGATAAAGGAGAAACACCACTATTTGTGGATCTGATACCAAGTCCTTGAACTTCAGCTTTCTTTTATTCATCAGATAAAAAGACAATACAGAAAAGTAAACACTTGTATAAGTACAGGATATCAGAGGGCATGAAATAGTGGGACAGCCATATYGAGTCAGAACTATAGGTTACATTCATAAATATGAATAACTTATGATAAGCTCCTGACTAAGCAAGTTTATCTTTTGCCATCCCCTTCTTCGACTGGGTATAAGAAGAAAAATAATGCATCTATAGCTGATTCTTGAAGGGGAGAGTACAAATGACTACACGGAGAAGTACCAGTGAAAAACCTTAAGGTGAAATGCAAGTGTGCAATATTATGTAAACAAGTGGGAAACTGAGCAAGAGAAGCACTAATCATCTAATGATCAGTAAAATGTTTTRTTTAACAAGATTTGAGAAAGAAGACACTCATACTAAAGAGCAGAGATTAACAGGGAACTATACAGATTCTCCTGAATCCAAGTTATTATTTAATAAATGTAGTATGAAAGAATGTTTATCAGTTTTCTATGAAGTAATTCTAACTGAAAAACCTTTAAAAAGGTACAGCACAATAACAACAATTCACATGCTTCTGTGCATGCCYAAAGTACAGCAAGTGTCAAGTATTTATTCAGGCTTCTGTACAATGTCTAATAYAGATCATTATCTCCTATCCTTCGCCTACTGTTGTCTGTTGCATGCAGTAGTCTCACATTTCTATCTGTTTCTAATCCAAAATTGACTACTGTGACTGTTCTTCCTCTGCAACAAAGGCAGCAAGAATTTACCAAATGAGCTTAGCCTCAGAGTAAAAAATGTCAACGGTTTGCATTACTTATTACCATACCTCTCTTGTTTCTCTGCCACTGCAAGGCGATCAGCATCAGGATCATTTGCTAAAATGATTCTTGCCCCATCTTTTTCAGCCAAAGCAAAAGACAATGTCTGGAAAAGTGGCAAGCAGGACCAGAAGAGCGTTAATATTCCCGAATAATATTTTCATTTGCTTTATAGGTTTAAACAAACTGGGAAAATTACTTAAATCTCAAACACCCAAAGTCATTATGTGTCTCTCAAAAAACCCAAAAAATTCTAGCCTATGGAACAAAGTCAGGACATTTACTTTACCTACATCACTCAACTTCTGTAGCCCAGCCTAAAAGCTACCTAGATTTAAAAAGATGCTTCAATWACAAAGTGTATCAGAAATAGCAGCAGAAATTCTAACCAGCTRCCAGGACTTCTCCTGCCCCCTCCTGGTGTTGCATCAGAACAAAACAGTAGAAGCCTTCCAAAACCAACAGAGAAGTTTTTTGTTTTGTTTTGTTTTTGTTTTTTTTTTTAATTAACTATCACTTTGTTCTCTGTGCAGATTCTGCCCCTTCTCTTAGAACACAGAACTAAGTAGTGGAARTTATAGCTAATTACTGACTGGTTCAAAGAGGGTTATGTCAATGAAAGGATACCAGCTAACTCTTCAGCAAATGTAAGGATAKGATACACATGCAAAATAGACCTTCCACCAATATCTACAGCCATGATTTCTGGCAAAAAGGAAACACTGAAAGACATTGCAACCACTCAGAAAAAAACCAAAAAGCAAAAAGAAAAATCTATTTACCAGAACACCTTTGCCTTCTTCAGGATTTGGATACTTCACTGTAGGAAAGTCTGGATCAGGATCTTTCTGCTCCGGAACAGCAAAAGGAGGACTAAGGTCAAAYGCCTTGAATGCCAACTGCACAAATTTATGTCCTACGCCATGCACAGAAGTATGAACAAATTTCAGGCTTGTTTCCTTGTTTATATTCCTGAAATAAAACAGGTTAACAGAAAACTTGGACATAGAACAACGTTCTGCGCAAAACTGACTATGTCTGGAAAAAGATACAACTCAGTATTCTATGTAACTGTTCAAATGGTAAATTAAAGGAGGTCAGATTTTAAAAGTAATGTCTTGAAAATTGGCTTAGCCTGATTTTTCAAMAGTATGAGTCACTCGTGGCATCYAATATCCTGGTATGTGCAAATCACWGGAGYAAGAGAGTACACTCTACAYATCYCAAARAARGCGAGTGAAAAAYAAATACAACTGACAATAAGACTCTTCATCCCCAACTCCAGTATTTAAACCCCTGCCAAGGACTGTGAACACAGTGAGTCAACAGCAGTCTGTCCAATTTGAGCATACTCATTTTTAGGAAGTACAGTACTGAAAGCATAGGAMATATCTAAAATCATGCAAACTCCTAAAGAGACATTTAATTCCAGTCCTGAAAAAGCAGCGTAATAACCCCAGCTTTCTGACTGTTTTTAGCAAGACTATGAGCATGGTTACTTGAGGTTAAAAATTTGAACATGAAATAAGCAGATCTAAAAGGCTGATACTTACCTAATACATAAAACAATTATAACTGTTAATCACCAAGAAAAACATCCACTTCATTTTGTTGAGTAAAGATTTTACTGGGCAAGTGATAAGAATAAGCTGTTGTAAGGCACCCAAGGCTACCAGGAGCACAAGCAAGTCTAGAATGACAGAGCAAGACCTCCYTCATCCAGAACTGGCTTAACAACCTGGTTCACCATCTGTCTCARAATCTTGTTTTAAGGCTGGTAGGTTGTCCATGTCAGCTCACTTCCAGCTGCATGAGATAGCCCCAGTCTTGCTGTGGCACTTGGCTGATGCATGGCCATGAAAATTATATCATCAGACACTTCCTCACTTTGCTGGGTTAGACTTCTGCCAGGACAGCTTTATGAACCAACTTACTCTAAGTAAGACCACACAGCTACCAGTGCTACCATAAAAGATGTCAAAAAGGCACAGGCAGAACTGGGTCATGGCAGAGTTGTGGCCACCCTCATTTTCATCAATTTAAACTGCCTTGCTAACATACTAGATGGAATATCCTGTATTCTAAAGGGTATTAACACCAGTCACCTGTAAAAGCACTGTTTCTGTATGTCTTTGAAATACTCCTTATTGACCATGGCATATGGATCATGAAGTAGCTGGCTGCTGTCAATCAGTTTGTCATCCCAAGCCTGAGGCCAYGGCTCTTGGTTCTCCTCAATAGCCTGAGAAATTCCTTTGTCATGAGGTGAAATGATCTGAGCGCCATTTTCCCAGTAAACCTAAATAAAAAACAGGGTATTTGATTGTTAATCTTGTAAGATAGTTTTGTTACTTTTTTTTTGTTGTTAAGGTGCATTACATTCAGTAGAGTRTAATACTGAATTAGGCTTAAGTACRCCCAAAGTATTCCATAGATATTCTCAGTTTTTTCTCACATCCCATTAAAAAAAAAACTTGTTTAATTTTATCAAAAGATATTGAGATCCATAATGAAACACAAAACAAAGCCCAGTCATTTATTGAAAAAAATGCCCATTTTTGTATTTTGGAAACAGTCTGCATATGATTAGCTCAACTACTGAATGACTGCTGCACAGACAATTCAGTTGTGTTTTCTTCAGTGGAAAGCAGATTTCCCTCATAGAAAAAACTTACCCTGATAACTGTCACTTTGCAAAAGCAAAATATACTACAAAAATAATGGAATTTATTCAAAATGTTTTGAAGCAACTCATTGAGTTTTRCATATTTTGAATTTTCTGTGTTTTTAAAACTAAAGAGATCTTTAAAAATCCTGAACTAGAGAAATCAATAATGCTTTAGAAAAGAAGCTAATATTTTGAAGTGTTCCAAAGTATGCAATGGTATTACTTCCTGCTTCCTAAAGCAAAGATTTTAATYACATTATTAGTATARCATGATACCAGAAGAAATCAGAGAGACTAGTAATAAATTATACACAATGATAGGAACTATAYACAAGAGCATTAGTGYYTGTCCATGGGGAAAAAGRAAGCCAGAGAATAGATCACATTGGAATACCTTGTAACCATTGTCTTGCTTTGGATTATGGGAAGCAGTAACCATAATTCCAGCACAAAGCTTCAGATGAGTTACTGTGTATGGCTGTAACAAGAGAAAGTTACCTGAAGTAAAATTTGCAACATATATTATTTCTTCTCATGCATATGTAACACTTGCATAGTGGTGAATGAAAAGAAAACCAGGATGTGAGTCCTACACACTGACTCCCTAAAGCAGAAGCTAAATAATACTTGTTCCACTAGACTCCATGTGGCACAACTTTAGCCCTTATTTGTTCTTATGCATTTCTCAATTTATATGTTCTTAATGTTGTTTCAGACGCTTTGTAMATCTCTAGGGTAGTGTATTTATAGCAAGAAGCTGTGTGCATGCGTTGCTGAGGCCTTGGAGGGTCCCAAGTCTGTTGGAGGAATGACAAAGTCTGCAGGGGACAGAGAGCTACAGCTCGAGCAGTCTCATCCATGCTACCTTTTGGGAGCAGTAGGGAGCAACCACTCCATGGTTCAGAAGAGAATTGTTTTGGAGAGAGCTGTTAAAATTTGGCTCAAAACAGATTCAAAAATAAAGCATTAATCATGAACATTGGTCCAATTAGTGTTTACTCCTGGCTCTTTATTCAATAGTGAAATGCAATGAACTGCAGTTCTTGCAACACCACTTTAAGCTGCGCTATGAACAATTTGATCCTAAATCTACAAAAAAGTCTATCCGTATAAGAATGTTATAGAAATTCTTTATACTACTGTTATAGAAATTCTTTATACTACTGTGTTCTGTGCAATGCTCACTGGTGTAGTGAGAARTTGKTGCTTTTARTAAGGGCYAAGAGCAGGGCTTTTCTGTACTGCTCTGGAGACACCTGGTGTTCTGATGGGGGCATTGTGGACACATCCAACAACAACAGAACATCTCTGCACTCAACAATTTGCTGTTTTTGATTCAATACCTACCTATGCCCCTYCTCCTTCCCTCAACAAAAAAAAACGAAAACAAAACAAAACAAATTTAAAAAAACCAAAACCCCTCAACAAAAAAAAAACCCCAAAAAATAACAACAAAAAAACACCAACAAAAAAAAAAATCCCCAGTCAAATCAACAATCACAAAACTAAATGTGTGTATATTTCACGCTTCAAACTCCACAGCAATCTAGAAATGATAAGATGCTTCCTGCAAGATGTCTGCCTGAAAACAGGAATGAACAGAAATGCATCCCACTGAYATTGCACATTCCCCCTTCCTTTGCTATGAATGTTGTAAACTAAACATAGCTAAATAAGTCAACACGAAATGCAGGAAGAGCTTAAAAAGTAAGAACTTGTTTGTGTAGTTATCCTTAATTTAAATAATGCAGGGTATCTGACAGAATTTGTGTGTATATGAAAAAGATATAGTACATAAAAAGATATAAAATAGRAAAACCTACCACAAAGGGAGTTGGTATTATATCAGAGAATAGATAAACTGGAACTCCCTGACTGATGAAGGTATTGGCAGCAAGTCTTGCAAACCTAAACAGGAAGRAAAGATGCCTAGGGAATACATTCATTTTTTTTTACCAATTATCTTCCTAGAATTCACACCTTTCCCTCCTACCCTAATGCAATTACAAAATCCCAACAATAAAACACCACCACTTATCAATGTATCTCAATTATTACACAGACCCAATTTAAATATGTTACCTCACTCTTCCCAATATGCAAAGCACAACTCTAAGAACTGCTTTGGCATTACCAGAATGTAAAAACACTGTAAATCCCATACATTAATTCACTATACAGAAAGAAAATACAGTTAAAATAGACATAAAGCCATAATGGATCACACAAGACATCTACTAAATACAAAACCTAAGAAGTACCTTTTGCTGCTACCTCCACTGGAAGGATGAGCACGAGCATCAAACCCAATCACAACTCCTCTCTTTTTCAGGTCACTGAAATTCTTCTCAAGGTATCTGCAAAATCCCTGAAGACAACAACAAATCCACCTCATTAACCCAATCTTGATGTTTACTTTATCATAGCATTAAGATGATTTCTAAGATGGTGATGTCTTAGGAAGGTGAGCACACACTTAGCATCTCACTGAACTGCTCTGGGATTCAGCTTGTCCAAGACCAATAAACACCAAGGARTACCAGAAACCTTAAAATCAATATTGCACACCTGGACAGCATTCAAATACTTTTTTAACATATCAGAACCAGCTCCAAAAAGGAACAGGTAAGTTAGTCCAAGCTGCAGATTTTGAGAAATGATTCATCTGCCTTAYGTCTCACATGAGGAAGAACAGCTGGCCAGTGTTTCAGGTTTTTAACTGAATCTCTCCCTTAATAATGACATCTGTTTAGAACATCATACATCACCACTCCAGGCTGCAGAAATTTCAGGTTCTGGGTTTTTTAAGCTCTCCCCAAAGAGATCTACTTTAAGATCTATGTAYATATACATACTTTCACTGCCTTTATGTAAATCCACCAGCACACACACAACTTAGCCAAATGTTGGCTACCTTTGGGGTTTAATTGTAGTTGTTACAAGAGGACTGCTACACTTGACCTTAACTGCAGCTGTGCATAAATTAAATTGCAAATCAAATACAGAAAGTAACTTCTTTTASTGGTTTAACAGTTTCTCTCTGCTTCTTTTCAGAGATCAGCACTCAGCTAATAATTACGATTTAAATTACTTCTGAAAACTGGAAGAATAGGACACAACTTGTACTTCCGTAGAATAATWGTTTGCTTGCCGTAGATGAGGCTCTTCCATTCATACACGCAACCAGCTAAGTGAGATAAAGTGCTGAACACAATACCTGGGTTGTTTGGATAATAGTCAAGTCATTCATGTGGGAAATCCCTGCTCCCATGGCAGCTCTGAGCCCTGCTGTGCCAAACTCCATCCGTGAGCCAAAGTATTTCTGCAGTTCTCCGGCATTTCCTTCCGCTAGCAATTGTTTCACGATTGCATAAGTTTTTGGATTCTGTTGATACAAAATTCAGATATTCTAAATGAGGTTTTGTTTGTTTTAACCGAACTGATTTCCTCTCCCAGTCACTGGGTTATTTCACTATTAAAACATGGCATACAACTTCAAGAACACCAGAACTCTTGCTATGTCTTATTACTTTTAACTCAGTACAACTTCAAGTATTGCTCATTTTAGATTTATCTCTTAAGTGAACATGCTACCTTGACAACAGAGTATATTTCACAATTTGGGATTAAAGATTTCCAAGATGACTATTTTAATGTTTTCTGGTTTTAAAAACAAAACAAACAAACAGCAGTAATTTCACAGTTCAGAGATCTTTTCCTCATCACAAGAGCTACACTAAACATTTAAGAAAGTTAAGCTCATCATTAAGAAACATTGGTTATTTCCATAGCACTATATATATAGTTTAAAATGAATTAAATTATAACCTCATTCAAGCTGGCTAGCATCAGAGGCAGCAGCAAAACGAAGCAGATTGATCAGAAGATAATTTCCAACATATTTTTAGGTAATGCTTCTAAAAATAAGCACAACCCCAGGATGAAAGCCTAGAAACTACAGCCAAATTCTTAAATAAAATKACTCCAGTGGCAACAAAAAGGCCATGTCAGATTGCTTGAGAACAGTGAGGCATTTTCTAACTTTCACTGCTTTTCTTGGTATGTTGCTTCCACAGAYTATCCATTGTTACTAACTCTCTTTATTTCCAGAATTAGGGAATTGGTAACRTCGCATATGCTTCAACTTCTCAGCCTTAATAACACGAGACTTGTGAAGTTCAGTATTTGATTTCTTGGTAAATGATGAGCCTAGAGAACAGATGGCAGGTGCCAGACTCCTGACCACAGGGTTATSTGGAGAGGCTGCAGGTTACTCACTGAGTGAATACGCACACTTCACTCTGGAGTACAAAGATTATMATTTCCAAAGGGACACAAACTTTGATTTCCAGGCAATCAAATGACCTCATAAAAGCCACAGACTTTACAATTTCCTGGATGACTTAGGAACATTTACAGCAAGGCAAAGCATATCTTCCTAGGCAAAAAGTTAAAAAAAAATTCAATGTAAAAATGTTTATCTTCTGCAGCTTCAGAAAATGCTGCAGAACACACAGACTAGAAGGTGTGTGAGTATCCTATATGTGTGAGTATCCAAAGATATAAGTATTCACACATCAAACCAAGACCAGGGTCAGGGTGCACTCACTGCCACAGGACAAACAGCATAGTTTGAATAAATACTTAAACAGCTAAAGAKGTGCTAATGAGCATACTACATAATGCAGAATAAACGAAAGAATTTTAAAAAAGAAAGCCAACTTCTTGAGTGCAATAGCAATCAGGTACTCTAGAATTACTGATTTGCAATGCAAAAATTACCARTTTACCAGTCCAGGAATGTTGGAAGCTGGCACTTCCTTGTAGGCAGCTTGACATAATTATCTATTATTATTATTGAGCAACTACATTCTCTAAGAATAAATATGATTACATGTTCTTATAGAATATATAGGACAGCATAGCTATTTTGAGTTTAGGCTGTTTACAAGTGGACATCAAGTTTTTGTTGCAACACCAGGCCTATGTCTCATAGGTAAAGCCTGAATGACACCATTTGCATCCAGTTTTGTACGTTGCCTAATCACCTTYTCATTCCCCTGCATGAGCTTTGTGCACACGAGTCAGCTCTTAACACTGAAATGACTGTCTTTTTAGGTGGATACCGTACACATTTCTAAATGTGTTTGACAGACTAGAAGCTGTAATACCAATGCTGAAGGACCCTCCTTCAGCYCTCATAGCCAAGAAAGTTTTTGTTTGTTGTCGTTAGAGGAATTTCCCAGGTTTGGTATCTACTGATAAACTAGAGCAATCCTTCAGTTTTTTAAGTCTGTTTAAATATACACATCTAGGTGGCTGCCTAAGTCTTAAGAGTTTCAGTTCATAAAATTTGCTAARGAAAACCTGATTTCATTAATTTGGTTGTTTGGGTTGTTTCCCACTGCCTGTCTCCAACACACACCAAGTAATGGTAAAAGCCAGGGCAAGCCAGGAGAAGGATTTTTTCCAGAACTACTGT